TCTCCCGGCCTGCTATGGGCTTGGCCTCACCTTCTCTACCTGGCTTGCTCTGTGGGTTTCGGCTTACGAAAGACTCACAAGTGAGGAGAGTGTTAGAATATCACTTATAAGTTGTCCTACATTGATTCAATAAAAAAAAAAAATGAGCCTAGTGGCTACTACTTCGTGGTTTTGTGATGAAGTCTTATTAAGGTGCACATAGGTTCACCCTCTTATAGTGTCTTCACTTGGTAGGACCACACTATTCCCTAGTTCTAATAATTCAAAGTGCAGTTTTTCAACGTAGTGTTGTTAAAAAAAAAAAAACGTAGTCCAACAATAATTATTGCTTCTAAAAACTCTCGTAGAAATTATAAAATTTCAAAAAAGTATAATTCCGTATAAAAAGCATACCAGATTTTCTATGAATAATTTCAACGTACAATTAGGATTAAAGAAATACCATCATGTGATTCATGAACAAACACCAACATTTAAAAAAAAATAAAAATAAAAAAAAATCATCACTATTCACTCCTAACAAAAAAATCTTCTACAGCAAACAAATCATCACTGACAAATCTTAATTACTTTTGATGCAAAAAACCCCACCCCATTTGCTTTTTTTTTTTTTTTTTTNNNTTGGCCTGGCTTTAAATATATAAACCAATTCACAATTTGCATGCAAGACAATTTAATACTAATAATTAGGCAACTCACAATTATTAGAATATTCACTCACATCATTTATATAAGAAAAATAAGTCTTATTTATAAGTCTAATAAACTACTCCTTATATGACTGATATTTTTTAACCAAAAATCGAATACTGAATCGAACTGACGAGAAAATAAACTAAATTGTACCGAACCGCTTGTAACGGTTACCGACTATCGGTTACCGAATCACTCGGTTCGGTAAAGGTTTGAACCCATAAGAGTTCGGTAAAACCGACACCGAACCTATAAGAGAAAAAAAGTTAAAACAATTTTTTTTTTTTTTAATTCAAAACAAGGATTAGTTGTTTAGTGTTCA